TCACATCACTACCGAGTCAGCTTTACAGTTTTTTGATCGCAATTGATGATTGAAATTGTTGTTTTTTTATCCTAGGTTGAGCTTGTTTGATAAGGTCTATTCTTTGAAGCTTGTCTGATAAGGTCTATTCTTTGAAGACCTAAGTGCAACAAAGTATGTGTTAAGTCAGCCTGGACCAGCAACAAATAGCATAACATAAGTATAGTAAGATAAGTAATTGGAATGCCAAAACTCTCACAGTGTGCACTCGTTATATGGTGACTTAAGGAAGAAAGTTGAGGGTTTATAGGTGTCAAAAATGACGAGTTCTCGACCTGTCGCACCACACATGGTTATGAACTCTTTGACAAAAAGTCTGTAAGTTGAATTGGTATTTCGCAGTTATTACTAGAGGAATACGAATGTTGTCCACCTATGGTTTCGAGACTTCATTGACCATTGTGTCAGACGCATTTACAGCTTTACCGACTAAAGCTAGAGTCATTGCACCTAACGATCGCTAACTTTACGATTAGTTCTATCACACAAAGTTGAAACTTAGGCAGTTTCATGGAGCCTGTCTTTAAAAATTTAGCATCAAAAGTTTTCGATGACTTGATTGTGGGGTAGTCTGAAACTATCACTTTGGTTTTCAGCAAGGAGGATGTCATTAAGTTGCTGAAATTCAAGTATATCATTCCTGTATTATGTTATTGAAGTCCTCTGAATGCTATATCTAGATGTTGGAGTTGGGTTTCTTTACTCTAATTTGCTTGTTAAATGGCTGTCATCATGCGCATGTTCAAAGTCAAGTCCTCGAAAAAAGATTGTTATCAAAATATTGAAAACTTGTTCTCAGATTTTCTCAGTCCGAATGACATACACGAGAATTCAGGTACTCAACTAGTTAAAACAGGTGTTTTGTAGACATATTCATCAATTGTTTTATCGAGTCTCTTACCATTTTTTTTTACAAAATACAGTAATAACGTTCAAATCAAATGTTTACTTGTGGCGGTGGGGTCGTACAAATCGAACTAGAGCGAGCTTTATTCTAAGTTGCTTTTGATCACTAGTAGATTTTCATATGCAACGGGAACTGATTGAGGGACGGATTATTACCCAATCTCGAACATTACCAAACTTATTCTTTATCTTGCCTAGCTTCCGAGAGCTAACTTATATGCTTCTGGGAATTCAAATCGTTCCGTAATAGTGGTGCAATGTGTAACATTTAGGAGTTTTACTGATAGTTCACTTAGTTCCGGATACTGGTTGAATATATTTTTAGAGAAGTAATCAATTCTATGTTTATCAAAAACTGGATATAAGCAATTACCAGAAAATTGTGTGTCATAAATTCTTTTATCCCTTTCCAGTTGTCCTCCAAAGTAGTTTCTTGTTCTTTCAGTAGATCCTGTACAGCTTGGAACCTGTTGTTGAGAGTTATCTTGAATTCATGGAGCTTGTCAGTTTCTCGAAGGAAGGCTGTATTGAACCTTTGCAGTGCTGTTTGTCCAGTTGTCCAGTGTTTCTTTAGCTTCAGTCTCATCTTGGCCACAACCAGGTGATGATCTGAAGCTATGTCAGCTCCTCTCCGGGTTCTCACGTCTTCCATTGATCTTCGGAATTTTTTGTTGATACAGATGTGATCTATCTGGTTCTCTGTGGTGTGGTCCGGTGAGATCCATGTAGCTTTGTGTATGCGCTTGTGTGGGAATATTGTGCCGCCTATAACCAATTTGTTGAATGCACATAGGTTTGCAAGTCTCTCCCCATTTTCATTTCTCTCTCCTAGTCCATGTCGTCCAATTACATCTTCATATCCTGTGTTGTCCATTCCAACTTTAGCATTTAGATCTCCCATCAGGATGGTGAGGTCCTTTCGTGAGGACTTTGCTATAATTGATTGCAGCCTTTCATAGAACTGATCTTTACCATCGTCGTTGCTATCATTGGTGGGTGCATAACATTGGATAACGTTCATTGTGATCCCTTACTTCTTTGTTCTGAATGATGCTTTGATTATCCTGGGTCCATGAGATTCCCATCCCACAAGTGCATTTTGTGCTTCTTTGGACAGAATTAGAGCAACTCCCTGAGTGTGTGGAGCATTTTCCCTTCGTGACCGGAGTACAGCAGCATCTCTCCTGTACCTAGCCTTTGTTGTCCAGTTTGTGTCCAATGGTTTCGCCGATTCCGAGTATCGCCAAGTTGTATCTTCTCATTTCCATTGCTATTTGGCTGGTCTTTCCTGTCTCCCACATTGTCCGGACGTTCCATGTACCTTTAAAGAGTGTTGCTCTGGTTGTTAGAAGGTGCATCGGTCTCGTGACTTCCGAAGAATTTCGACTTTTATCATGAGACGTCATAGTTATTCCTTCAACTCCCATGGCAGAGTTTAAATGGTTTGAATTATATTTTCTGGTTAGCGTTTTTTTAGCGAGTTAGCTTTTCTACGGGATGCGGTCGCTAACCCCATGCCCAACCCTCCTCCTTTACCCGGGCTTGGGACCGGCAGTAACTCTAGAAGAGCTACAGGCGGAGTTTTGACGTTTTGACTTACTCAACACTATTCGGTGTTGTAATGCACTCTTAGATCTATGTCTGTGATATGCACTAAAAAATCTGAAGTAAAATAATCCAGTGTAAGGACTTATTTAAATCCATGTTTAGATAAGCATATCGTTTCCAACAACTTACGACTGGTTTTCATTGGCCGTTTGGAAACTGAACACGATTTCATTTCGTCAAAGACTACAATGAACATTCATTAGTAGATAAGTGTTGTTCAACGATTAATTTTAACCATTAATGGATATCATTAATCCATATTATCGTTATAGCAACAAATAGTTTACTATTTTTACGTAATGAGTTTAAAGAGAAAGTAAGGGCTTTATGATCAGTAAAAGAGGTGAATTCTCGGCCTCTGATAGAGTTTTGAAAATACCGTACAGCACACTACTTAGGTAGGACTTCCCTACCGAAATTGCTGTACCTCGATTCAGTTTCTAGCAACCGTCTAGAAGAAAATCCCAAAGGTACTAATATGTGATTGAGTGTCCTAATATGCCAGTATAGTGGCATTTGCAATAAGTTCCTTAACTGTGGAGAATGGTTTACGTTAACTGTCATCCAGATTAATTTATTTCGCACTTCCACGAAGTTGATCCGTTATCGGTTTCATAAGGGACGTGCATTTTGGCAAACAAAGTTCAAGGAAGGACATCAATGAATGTTCATTAGTATATAAGTGTTATATAACGATTAATTATTTTAACTACTAATGGATATTATTAACGAATATTATCGTTATAGTAATAAATAGTTTCATTATTAAGATTAAATATTTTTTAAGTAGTGAACCTCAATTATCTAGACTATCGTTATCAAATCTAAAAGTAATGAATAACTTTCTCCTCTTAGTTTGACACTTTTCTACAATATGACTTTACGACATGAATAAAATCTATGATCTTTAAGAAATTGAGGGGGTTTTGTGGAGAATTCAGTATTTTCATTAGTTGAAATCATGAATCAATTGAAGCTATACCACCATGAAAAACCTGGAAGAACTGGACGACCGTTTCGTCCTTTAAGAATTTGCAGTTATTTGTATTCTACCGTTAGACAACTGAGTGATAATCATTAAATCATCTTCCAATTTTATACATTCAAATACAAATAAAGTCATGTTTCTATGGAAACAAAAGCATAGATACATATATTTTGATTGAAAAAATAATTATGTTGATTTATTCATTAATTCTTTTGACATATATATATTAATTGTTCTGTTGTTCTGTTTATATATATATGTGTGCTTTGTTTAAAATAAAGCCAACTGTACGACTGAAATTACTTCTCATTATGTCACAAGTAATCACATGTTATTGATTATCAGTATTCATAGGAATAGTAATCATAATAATGGTTACCTTCACTTTGATTAGATGTTTAAAAAAAAAAGAGAAACAAAAGAAAACAAGAGCTAAATAATCATCAAAAACAACAACAACAACAACAAACAAACAAACATTGAAAATTGAATGACAAAAAAGATGATGAAAAGGTGAAAATTGAATATTTAGTCTTAGAATTTCATATACTTCATCTTATGAAATGATTTTTGAATATTGAATATTATATAAAGGAATGTATGAATTTTATTGATTTTCTTGTTTATTTACTTTAATATGTATATGATTTTTTAACTATAGCATTTTATATTAGTTTCCTTGTTTGTATAAGCGTTATAATGGGAAAAAAATATTTTTTTTAAAATTACAACTAAGGATTTTCATCAGTTTTATTGGAAAAGATAAAGAATATCTATCTTTTAATAGATGAAAAAGCTGGAAAAATAGATATTGGTATTCAAGAGAATAAGTTGAGTGGGAATGAGAGAGAGAGAGGAACAAAAAGAGAACATAAATTATTCATTCACCCTCCACCCCACCCCCCTACAAAAAAAACAACAAATAATACAAGAAAAAATTATCTTTATATACAATTTAGATTAAAATTGTGACATGGTTCAAGGTCAATGGAATAGATTATTAAAAGACAAACACTGTAAACATGTGAATAATAATCAAAGTTGAACAGTAACCAAGCAAATTGTTTTCTAAATTGACCTTTCAAAATGTTCTTTTTTTTTTGAAGACACAATTTTTTTTTGGAGGGGGGTGTAGACAACGAAAAATATTAGGAACCATTGAACTTATTTCTTAATTCATATTTTCTTATCATAAGAAAGTAGAAGATATTTATTCTTTGATGTATATTATGTAACATTCCTTTATGATATAGTTGATATGTGAAATTAAATATTCATGACCATAGATACTTGATGATTTAATTTTTTGAATAAGGAATTATATAATAGTTAACTTAAGCAATTCTTTTTTTTTGTTTATTTTTGTGCGTACATTCTAATCATTGTACATTTAATACAATAATGAATACATAAAACAGAGTGAATAGAATGTTAAATAAGAAAAGTTGAATTGGATAAATCAAGTAATATCAGAAGTATTTGTCATTGAATTGAATTCTCGTTGTATTGAAGAATTTCTAGAATCTTCATATTGATCTATTTGTGATATTTGGTTTCTATGGTTACAATGATTATGTATTAAACATTGTTGACAATAATTATTTGATAAAGATAATAAAGATGATGTATTCATTGTGTAATGTTGATGATGAGAATGATTATTATTAGAATTAGTCCATATTAAAGAATCATTTAATAAATGTTCAATATTAGTTATTTTATTGAATGTTGAACAATGACAATGATTTAAACAATCTGTCATATTAATGACATGATCATTATTATTTGTATACGGTAAGTTATTCACCATTGATATTTGGTTGATTTCTGAATCTATATTTGAATATGGTATATAATTTGATTGACCATAGTCAAGTAATGATAAATTACATTGACTTGGTAATTTGGAACAATTAGAATTTGTATTAGTAGAAAAGAGATTTAAATCATTTGAAGGATGAATAAATTTGGAATCATTTAATTCATTTGTTGGTATATTATGAAATAGAGAAGATTCCATTGATTTCAAATGATTAGTGTTATTCTTATCAGAGTTGTCTTGTTGGTCTATGGATCGTTTGATTGTTTGTGGTATCATTGATTTTCTTGATAAATGATCAGAGTAAGTAGTTAAAGAATCGAATCGTTGAACTGTTGGAGAACTTTCAATGAATTCAACAAAGTTTGATAATTTTGATAACTTTTTATGAACAATTGAATTGTTGGTAAGCTTTGGATCTAAATGAGGAGTTTTATTAATAGTTAACTTTGAAGATAAATATCTTTTAGGATCAAAATAAATAGATTGAAAATTGTTAGTACAATTGTGTTTTATATTTGAATTGTATAGTTGTTGATTATAGAGAATATGATGATGATGGTGAGGTTCACGAATTGTACTCTGAGAGGTTATTTCAATAGGATTAGTCTTAGTATTCATTAAACATTCTTTCGTTATATATGTATCAAATAATGGATTAAAGTATATTTTAGATAGTTTTGAAGAATTCTGTTTAGGTAATGATAAGTTGATTGGATTTTGATTGAATTTACAGGGGTTATTTTCCTACAATGAATAACAATAATGAGAATATGAATTAGAAGTTTACAAATGTATAAGTAGATAAGTGATATCAAAGTCATTTTGGTAACTTTAAACCATCTACATGAGTCAGTTAGGATGAAGTTTGGTGACTTCAACAAATAATTCTAAGTATTATTCAACTTGTAAAGGGTTATTGTATAAGGTATCTTTATCCAGCGTTTTAACTCCTTACGGTTAGTAACAAGATGTTTGTTGTGTCATTGTATAGTGAAAATGACATTATGTAAAAAGAACATAACATGAAAAAGGTTAAAGAGTCTATTGAATAACAAACATTTTTGTGATATGAAAACTAAAAAACAGAAGAGACTTTGACGGTTGAATTCAAAAGTCTATTTAAAGTTAAACCATCATTGAAAACCTGCAAGCATTGGATAGTCGTTTCGTCCTATTGCACGTCCACGGTCCCGCAAACAATCCATGTTGGGTGTAAGACAGTTATCCACCTCACACAATGAATCAAAGGCTGAGCAAGGTTATGGATCCGTTGAAGTTAAACATATACACAATTAAGTGACAGCTCACTGGCCTAGAGGTTAAGCGGTAGTGCATGAGACCCTAGACCCGGCTTTCGTGCTACTTGGCATTCCTCATCAAGGTGTTCCTGTAATCTTGAGGGAACTGGTGCTCCCTGACGGATTCGATCCTGTGTCACCCAGCTTCACAGTCAGAGATGTTAGCACTATGCTATCCAGGTCGCAACCGACCTCATGTAGAACTGAGGTGTAATCACAATCGATTGATCACTTGGTGGTGGTCAATGTAATGCGTGATATTATATGAACAATATATTAATTATCATGAGTAAATACATAAATTTTTTTGATTTTTAATATAAAAAAATTAAATAATAATCTTAATATTTGTCTGCCAAAAATACAGAAAAAAAGGCAAATTAACCCAATTTTTTTTAGGGGTGTGTGTGTGTGCAGTAGGACTCTTACTTACTGGATTATCTTCTTTCGGAACTGTTGATTTTACCACTGATGAACATGCTCTATTTGATGATTGTCGCTTTTTATAACTACAAAAATAAAATTTAATAAATATAATGATAAGTAGTGTAATAAACGAATAATTAAGTGAAAACAGCCAAAAAATATTACAGAATGTATTGATGAAATATAAGAATCATACATTGAATACTTCATTTGCAGACTTCTATCCTTTATCCTTCATATTCTGTATGATTCTTTCAATTCACAGTTCCTTTCTATTTCTTTTTCTACTCTCTTCAATTCGATCTTCTTAACTTTCCGCTTTCAATCATTCAATTTTTGATTGGTGTTGTATACTACTTATGTCGACAGTTATAAGTAGTGTACATAGTATAACTAAAATTATTTATTGATTCAATAAATAATGAGTAAATAAATAATAATAATAATGGGTAAATGAATTTCTCATTTTTGTTCCCGTTCATTGAAAAAAATCAGTATGTGTATACCGGTGGATAATAGAGTTAGTGATATACATGTCTTTGTCCACTTAAGTTAATAAGCACCATAATATCACAATTGAACATTCAAGTGATAATTCGGCAAGATAAACCAAACTACTATACTGGACAATAGTTTACTGTTGATTTTGTTTAAATGTTGTAGACCAAATATCGACTTTGTTATATCTCAAGTTTAGATTCTTAGTATGTTGCGTATAACTTGAGCCTTCGAACGCTAGAACCTTTCCAGGTCGCAAAATGAGAAGATAGAAGACAAGTGGAAGGAATGTTATTCCAAACAGTGTCAATTATGTTACAAAACTGTCAGGTATTTATAGTTTTTGCAGTAAAAACGAAATCATCATTATAGTTATCCAATTCTCACACTGGAGTTCATTAGCATTTGTCCAATATGGAAGCTACACGTGGTGATTCTGGAATATTCTTCCAAAAGCTGATTTGATAGAATATGTTACGCTCCTTCTGAGCTTCTTAAAGCTTCCTCATCTATGAACCGTCCTCACACTTCCCCCCTTTAAAGTTTGTTGTGTAGGACTTTTTTCTCGGATCCACATGAAACTTGGTTACCGCATTCCTCTTGCGGCTCACCACTGTCGAACGTTGTACCGCTTCGCTCTTGCGTCGTTCATTTCTTCTATATTCGCGCGCCTGAGACCTTTTTCGAGATATATCCACGAGTCATTAAAACGGGAGTCGGGTTTATAAAATACTTATTAAGAAATAGTATACAAACTAATATATAAAACATTTTGCACCTATTCCATTGACTACTATTACTACGAACTACTGAGAAATGAGAGATATATAACAGTTGTTTATGTTTTTTACCTCCATGTCGATTTTCAGAGTATTACATCATATGGTCAGTACGATTTATGTTAGACTGAAGAGATTGAATTGGGTCGTTTGCAATAGCAAAGTCATTCATTTACTCATTTTCGAAAAAAAATCTGTAATTCTCGTTCATGTAACCTCATGATCATCACATTATATCACGAAATCATTAAAACTCAATATTGTCATTCCATTGAATTAATACTAAAACCTGAAGGTACTGTAGTTAACAAGAACACAAGTGGGGACAATCGAATATATTTAAGCACAATGTACAGACTATCTCACTAAATTATGATAACCATACAGTAAATAGTTAATTTGCAAACTATCAATCCATTGTCTCAATCTTCACTGTTCCTTCTGTAAATATCAGTTCATCTACTCTAATTCCATTGTTCATGCATTTTTTTACCGATTGAGCTTCATTCCTGTTCGTTCCTAATCGATGTTCTGTCAAAATACATTCTATGTCTGACCATCGCCATATACTACTTATGTGAATATAAGTAGACCACATCACTGTTATATACTAGGAAAAAGTAAGTACTGATAACTTACGGGACCTCTTATTAGACTATTAATCCATTTATATTCCTATTGGATAGTTTTTAAATAAGTGACCTAATCGTTTCCGTGTTCCTCTTATCATAACCTTTATTTTGACCTTGGAACTATTATTATTGATTACTTCCCCCCTAGCTACAGCCACATTGGCCAATTACTGTACAAATGTTATTTTTCTATTTTTGATATGTGGGGTCTGTTTGGTTAGTATATATAACCCAGTATGCTTGTGAATAATGATTCATACTGTTGAGGCTGTTATTTGTGTTCTGGACTTAACGGGCTGGGCTAGGCAGATAGGAAGGACCGAATAGCACCCAAGACTGCTCAGGGCATACGTTATAACAATTGGCGACGGGGATTCTGGAAAAAAATACAGCAGTCGGTGACGTCATTTTGGAATTAAATAATCCATAATAATTGCCGGTGTTCTTTTCTTTGGATTTATTATTATTATTCTCATTTAAAAAAAATGTCAATTTCTCCAGAACAGCTACAGTTAATATTGCAGCAGCAGCAGCAACAGATGTTAGCTTGTCAACAACAACTCCTGGAAGCACTTTTGGGGAAAATGTCTATTCAGCAAGATATTCCAGAACATAAAAGCATAGAGTCATATCTTAATCCAATTCCAGAATTTATTTTCGATGCAGACAGCGGTCACACTTTTGAAGCATGGTTTGGCAGAATTGAAGATATTTTTCGAGTAGAATTTGCTGCTATGGAGGACACAAAGAAAGTCCGGTTGCTCTTACAGAAACTTGGTCCTAACGAGCATCAGAAGTATAAAAACCATATCCTGCCCAAACATCCACGAGAGATTAGTTTCGATGAAACTGTTAACATTCTAAATAAAATGTTTTCTGAACAGATGTCTTTATTTCGTATCCGGTATAATTGTCTACAACTGACTAGAGAAGCTGATGAGGATTATACTACGTATGCCGGAAGAGTAAATTTACAAGCGGAACGATTTAAATTAAATGTGTTAACCAGTGATCAATTTAAATGCTTATTATTTATTTCTGGTCTGAATTCTCCCAGCGATGCTGATGTTCGCATGAAGTTATTATCTCGTATGGAACATGACGAAGAAATGACGCTACAAACTGTTACTGGTGAGTGTCAACGATTAATAAACTTGAAACAGGATTCGGCTATGTTAGAAACCAAAAGTGCTGCACCATCTTATCATTCTGTCCATGCTGTTAAGTCAAGTCAACGACAAAAAAGTGCCAAAAGTTATAAACATCACACAAAAATTCCTAAACCTTCAACGAAATGTTGGTATTGCGGCTCGTGGCACTTTTCAAGATTTTGCAGATTCAGAAATCATAGATGCACGGTGTGCAATAAACTTGGTCATAAAGAATCAGTTTGCCGGACAAGAGAAAATTTGAGATCAAAGCCTACGAAGCGTCCTCACCAGTTTCAAAACAAATATATTAACAGTATATATTCTACACGAGCTCTAAGTATGGCAGATAAAAGAAGGTATGTGGAATTATTGGTTAATGGTGTTCATGTCCGATTACAATTGGATACAGCGTCAGATATCACATTGATCTCTAAACGAACATGGAATTTAATTGGTTGTCCACAAGTATTACCTACTGAGCATACTGCACGAAATGCATCCGGAGATATATTAAAGCTTGTTGGAATTATAAAATGCTATGTTGAATTTCGAGATAACTACTTCACAGGGAATTGTTATTTAACGAACAGACATGACTTAGACCTTATTGGAATAGATTGGATAGATAAACTAAACCTATGGGATGTACCATTGAGTGAAATATGCATGATGAAGTGCACAAATAGTCCCAGAGATCTACCCATGGTTCATGTAGCTAAGAAAGCTCAAAAACCTCTCAATGTCATAGTGCATACGGTACAGGAACTCATTCATATTGCTCCATAGTAGTCGGCCTCTGGAGCCATGATAAGGTCTCAAAAATTTTTATTGTTGGTGCCTGTCGGTTCCTAACTCGTTGGAAATGTTAGGTTTAGGGTCTTAACCTTAATCGTGATCGAGCGAAGAAAAGTCATTTGAGTACCACAGTCACAAGTATAGAAACTTCTAAATAATCCCTTCTCTTGTAGACTTTGAATTATCACGTCTTCTCTAAAATCCTCTGGAAACCGATCGTTCGTAAGCATCAGGTACCGAAACTTCTCGCCTTGACCTTGAAAACCCACGAAAGCTTCTGATTGGCTCGTCCATAAAGTTTAGTCCCACCCTATAATTTTATATTCAAATACATTTAATTGTTCCCATTTATGTTCTTGTTCACTATACAACACTATCTTACCATTAACATTCAATATTCAATGTTTAAAATTTCATCTTTTTTTATTTTATTTCAAATCGGCTACAAAAAAAAGTTTGTTTTACCGCCTCTAATTAATACTTAAGGTATCTAAGAGGTATAAAAAAGTACTTTAAACATGAAAGGTACTCATCAAAGAACAAACAAACAACACAACACAACCGATAATTGGATCATTTATATCATTACCAAAAAAAATAATAATAAAACTAGGAATAAAACAACTTACCATATTTGAAATATTGAACATAAGAAGAAAATTAAAAGTAAACTAATAAGAATACCGATTGTTGAAAATAAAAGAATACGAGCAAGATTTGATTCACAGCCTAATCAAAGTAAAGTAAAAACAAAAAAGAAATGAATGAGATTATAATCAGAAATATAATATAAAGTAAAAAGAATAATATTTATTTGAATAATTGATATCATGAGTCAATTGAAGCTAGGCCTCCATCAAAAACTTGGAAGGACTAAATGGCCGTTTAGTTGCAGTGTGGGACTCCTCAAAAGTGCGCATCCACGATCCCGCCTTGTAAAATTCGAATCCAGGATCTATCAGTCTTGAGCGTGATCGCTTAATCTCTAGAACCACTGAGCTGACATCTAACAGTGTTAATGTCTAACTTCAACTAATGAACGAAATTGAGCAACCGTCCATCATTGTCTTCATTGACTTACTATCTCACAACAGACCTGGTTGAATTTTACTTCAGGAACTACCTCTTGAAGCCAATCACTATTGAGCATATGTTGAGGAGTCCCGCAATAGAACAAAACGGCCGTCCACTGCTTCCAGGTCTTCGATGGTATTCTAGCTTCAATTAACTAATAATATCAACTATAACAGTTTTATATCACTTATTAGTAGTTCGTCTCAAATACCACAATACAGCTTAAACAGCCAAAATTCTTTCGAATTTCTCTCATATATTCTTTTTCCAGGAGCATCTAATTACTTCCCTTACCTGACCAGGGTTTTTCAACAAAATTGAGAGGTGAATATGAACCTTCGTCTCTTAAATCAGGTTAGTCGATAAAAAAGTGTTCTACTAGGAAAATCTAAAAAACATTAACTATAAAATATTGATTTGCATAGGCTTTATCATTATGAGACAACACTCAGTTATTGGTTCCCATGGGACAGCACCTTATGAAGTCACACCATTATCCTGTGAACCAAAATTTTATACCACAGGCTGAGGAGAGTGGCAGTGTTGGAGTTCAACCAGGTTTGTTGTGAGATAATAAATGTTTAATTGAATTTATAATGTACAAGGTTTTTTTTATTCACAAGAGTAATAAAAGATGATTTATTTATGATCAGGTTGAATAAATGAAAAAGGAAAGAAAAGGTAGAGTACATTGAATGATAATGAATAGTTGAATTAATGAAATGGATAATGGATGCTTTAGTTGATGTCATCCTATTAAGAAACATTGAATAGACTAGTCCATTATTTCATTATTAGAGTAATTATCAAAGGAGAATGAGACATTTATTCAATTATAAGCAGAGATGGATAGTGGCTATCCGTGGAATCCAGGACGCATGTTTCGTCTCATTTGCGACTTATCAGCTGGATATACCTGCATCTCAATACGCAATACGCACACTATGCGCATATGCCAATTAGAGACTGACTAGTTGTAGTCCTAACAGATCGATGGGAAGATTCAAACAAACAATACTCAATGAATTTATTCAATTGATTAGTTTTAAAATACTAAATTACTTCATTCGATTGGTCCTACTTCTATTGCTTGATATTCATGGTTACTATTTCATTTGGCAAGTCCTTAAATCAGAACATAGTTGAATGGGAACGGAATTATATTACACATAACAAGGGTAGATGGAAATAGAAAGCACATTAGTATATTGATGGTTTTTATATGAGAAGATTATAGAGTGTTCTATAAGTATTGAATAGCGCTGATTAGATAAGAAATAGCTAATCAGCGTGCTCCAACATATTCCTTCATGGAATGTGCTTTAGTTCAATCTGTATTTCGGTGGTAACTTGGAATTTTAGAAGTTTCATTATTTTAGGTATATCTTTTTTTCTAAGCTTTGTGAAATTGATGATGATAAGTAAATGAATGAAATAATTTATTGTTGAATTGGTGAAGTGTTAGGATCATTAAGAGACAAACAGATAGGAGAATTACTAAAATAATCGAAATGCTCAAAAAATCGTACTTTGAACATGGTGGCCAGTAATAGAATCTAGAAAGTGGGTTTCATCCTATTTAAGACTTTTCAGCTGGATGTACCTGTATTTCAGAATTGATATTCACTCTGGGACTCGAATCTAGTACCGTTCGCTTTAAGTGCCATCATGTTATCCACTTATCTATTAATTCCACATAGGATGAAGTTGAGTCAATCCGCATAGGATGCCCATATACTAATATAAGACTGATCAATTACAGTTCCCAAAACATAAATGGGAAGATTTAAACAACTAATACAAAGAAATGAATTCAATCAACCATCTGTTTCATTTCAACTAAATAATTTTACCTAATGGATTAAAATAGTTCAATCAGTTTGTTCCATTTTTCGAAAGAAAAAAAACTTAGCTACTTCTACCTATTCTAAGTAGCTTCACACAACAACAACAAAAAAAAACAAAACAACCCAGACTTGGATTACATCGTTTATATTTAACAAATGAAATGTGCAGTTGTTTTTTTTAAACTGTCAACTATATGAAACTTAACGCTGATCAATAAGCGTTTGGAATTCAGTAGTATGTTTTTTTATAAAATAAAAAAACCGACACATAATAATCTTAATTATACCTTAAGCTAATCTATTTTATGTTGTATTCATTAGGCATTTATCAGTATTTCGATAGTTACCTTAACTACGGATTTTCAGTATTTGTGCCTGCCTAACTGATTTAATTAGGTATTTTGTATCATTCGACATTGAAGGATCTTAAGAATAAATCTATTATTTATGATATGTCAATGAATAGGAAGTTGTATTTTCTGGTGTTGAATCTTCTCATTGATGTTTCGGGACTGCAATTGATCAGTTTCTTATTGGAATATGTGCATACTGTGCTTATTGTTTCGATATAGCCTTAATTGACAAGCATTATAAGCAAAAGATGAACAGTCGGTAGCAGTGGAATCCAGTTTGACGATCATTTCGTATTATTTGATACTTGTCACGCCATTAAACAAGCGAATGCATACTAGGACTAAGTAGCTCAATGGATAACTCAATGGCGTTTGAAGTTAACGGTACTGGATTCTAGTCCCAGAGTAAACATCAACTCTGAGATGCAGACAAATTCAGTTGATGAGACGAAAATTAAGACGAAAGGCGTGTTGTAGATTTCAATGCTAGCCATCATCCATTTTTGCTTATAATAAGCATAAAAGTCTTAATTCATTCGTCTGACAAGATTATCTCATCAAAATTATGAAATTCGGCTACAACTGAAGGCGATTTAACAATACAAAAGTAAAATAATCTCTGTTGGTCCTGTAAGTCCTGATTTCAACCTGTGATAATTTCATAAATTCCTTCTATTGAGAAAACTCCTACTGAAAAGAAGCAACTAAAGAGCACCATCTATTGCTTATTGACTCTCTAGTTAAAATCAGAATGGGATTTTGTGGAGATTTTAGTAATGTTATATAGTTGAAATCATGAGTCAATTGAAGCTAGAACACCATGGAAAACCTGAAAGCACTGAACGGTCGTTCCGTTTTATTGCGAATCTATTTAGCAATGCGCATCCACGATCTCGTCCCAAGACCAGGTCCATGAGGTATTTCCTGGAGTTCTATTGAGAAGCAGTAACCGGTGGAGTTCAACCAGGTCTGTTTTGAGATAGTAACTCACTGAAGACATTGGTTAATGGCTGCTCAATTTTATGGATTATTTGAAGTTAGACATTAACACCGTTGTACGTCGGCTGGTTCAGTGGTCTAGTGGTTAAGCGTCCGAGCGCGAGACTGATAGTTCTTGAGTTTGAATCTCGCGAGGCGGGTTCGAGGATGCACACTGTTAAGGAGTCCCACAATAGAATTAAATGGCCATCCAGTGCTTTCAGATTTTCCATGATGATCTAGCTTCAATTGACTCATGATTTCAGCTATCTCCGGTTAAAAGCTATAAAAATTCTTTCCTTTCTAAACATTTTCATTTGAAAAAGGTTTACCTACAATTAATCTATAAATTAATGCTTATTCAATAATTATATATCTACAGTCAGTAAGATAGATAGTGGCTAACAGTGGAATCCAAGATGCGCGTTTAGTCCTGTTTCGGACTTGTCAGATGGATGTACCTGCATCTCAGAGTTGATGTTCACTCTAGGACTCGAACCCAGTACCTTTCGCTTCAAACGTCATCACGTTATCCACTCGACCACTGAGTCCTGTTAGCCACTTGCTTGTGAAATAGGGTGAAGTTGAAATTACAGACTGACCAGTTGCAGTCCTAAAAATAACAATGAGAAGATCCAAACAAACAATACTAAGTAAATTTTAGTCAGTAGTGTTTTACAGATGAATAAAAAAATTTCAACTCGATCTATTTTGTTTCTCTTTTGGTCAACATTATTATTATTACTATTACGAATTAGATATAAACGTTTACAAATACCAGTTTAGTTTGATTTGTACAAATTAGATATGCCTGTCATTATAGAATCTACTGATCTACCTCATAATTCCTTAATTCCTATAAGAAAAAAAATTATCTTCAATACTATAGAAGAAGAAGGTTCATTTTGACATGTGGCAATCTTATATTATGATGTAACAATTTTTTTTCGCCGAGAATGTCGATGAAATGTTAATATCAAGCTGACAAAAATAAAAAAAATAGAAAAAAAGAAAAGAAAAAAAGAAAAGAAAAGAAAGAAAAGAAAAAAGAGGAAAGAGAGTCTTATCTCTTATCTTCTAAATTACTTAGATAAACTTTAGACATTAATGTAATATACATAAATAAGTAATTATTAACAATGATTATTATTATTATTATTAGCTTTATTCAATATTATATTATTTGGTACAAAATCGAATTCTCAGCATAAAGTATTTCAACATGTTTATGTTTCTTATTTCTTCGTTGCTCCTGATGAAAAACATTCAGTGATCGCCAGTTGGATGTCAGCAGTTCAGTCAATCGACATATGAATAATGTATATTCTTTTTGCTGCATGTTCCCAGCAAACACGACATCTCTGATTAGGCCTTTTGTAACCTTTACAGCGTAAGCTTGTACAGTTTTCAGAAAAGCACCGGAATAGGTTGTGTGCTTAATAGCCATAATTATGTATTAAAACAAACAATATTAGAT